CAATCAAACCATAATATTATTATCAAATCTAGAATATTAATGAAAAGAAGATAATAAATGATTCTAATGTAATTCTGAACAACAAATTTTTGTACATCTTATACCACAAAACATAATAGAATATCAGATTACGATTAAAATTATTCAAAACGATTTATATATCATTTTATTAAATGTACAAATCTTAATTCCTTCACCAAGAAATGCATCCTCAATGACCATAATATTAATAGAACTAAGAACAAGATTTGTACGTTGTCACGAACTGGTGGAAAAGGATATACGCAAGGAGGGAACGTTTTAAAACGCTTCAGAAGTCGAATCGCGAAAGTCGCGCCTCGCTGATGAATTATTCATCGCGATGGGGGAGGTGGAACGCGTTCGTTTCGAGGACAAATCAGAGCGAGGCACAAGACAATCCCCACGAACTATCCTCCCTTGTTCGAGTCTCAACACGTGCTTGACTCGCTTCTTTCTTTTCGGTGGTACGCTTTTGCTGTTTAGAAACGTTGGATTCTCCGCTTGAATTTCCACTCAGATCAGTCGCGTTTTGATGTTGCGAGTAAATCGAAGGGATTTCGCCATAGTCTCGAGTCGCTCGCTTGTGCTTCCTTTGTCGATCGCGGCTTTTCGAGTGTACTTTACGTTTGCTAGTCTGTTTCGAGCGGATTTAATGTTCAAATGGTGGCGTGGCAGCTTTAAACGCGGCTACATTTGCATTAGATTTCGCAAATGTACCGCGCAAATAACAGATCGAGACGAAATTTTGTAAAAAAAAAAATCTGTTCTATCATCTTGTTTGTTACAATTTTTAATATTGCGAATATTTATATTCGCAATGTTTTTCAGTTCTTGTCTCTCTGTAGAAGTAATTTATTTGTTGATTTATCTATGTGTTTATTTGTTTAGTGATGTAGTTTATGAGCTAAACGAATCGATAAGTTGAATATATATATACATGATTTGTGCATATATCAAATATTTTCATTTGCATCGCATCAAAATATTATTGCACAAAACATGTCAAAAAAATTGGAATTACTTTTAAAATAATTAAAAATCCTCTATAAAGAACACTTTTATAGAAAATTTCGTCCAAATTAAATCGTGGAAAGTTTCAAGAATATATTTTTACACATCTTTGTAATATTCTATCAATGGCTGTAACGTTGATTTCTTAATAAAAAGAAAGTGCCTTGAAGTTTACATTTAAAAGAAAATCCATCTTCTTCATACATATTAAACATCCTACTTTAACAACAATATTTCTTAGGACAAGTTTTTCTTAAATTTTCTTACAATAATTTTCAAACATATTTCCTGCATATACATATAAAAAAAGATTCTTACGCGTAAACTTGGTAAACACTGTTCCACGGAATAACGGAATAACGATAGCGATAAATTTCACCCGCCATTTCCTTTTTTTTCTCCCCCTCTCCATTCTCTTCCATTTCGTTCATTCTCGCGAAAAATATCTTATGCATTAAAATTCGCCATTCGAGCCAATCCAACGCGGCATCCTTTGAATCTTCGACAAAATTTCGACCGTTTACGCGATTCGCATATCCGCTGGAAAAATGAGTAGACTCGGCGAGAGGGGGTAAAAAAAGTTGTGGGCCAGCTTTCCGCCTCATTGAGATGCATAACTATCGCCAATGAATTAATCACGGCCTTAATGCAATATGGCAGAAAAGTTTTTCGCCCGTTTAAAGGTTTGAAACTCAGCCAGGCCGAATGGCGCCGCAAGTTCGCATCCGGAGAGGATCCACTTCGCGTGGATTCCGCCTCTTCCGTTCGCCGTAATAAATGGCCCTCGCCTCGGTTTCATAAAAACCTAATTGAATTTGGTGGAAACCGTCTACTAATCTCGCGAGCCATTGAGTTTGTCTTGTAGAGAAGAACATAGAATATTGTACGATACTTCGAAGAAAGAAAGATTGATGACGATTATTAGATTAAGGTGTGTCGAAACATCACGTTAGGATGTGAAAATAATAAGAGAAATAATGATGTGCGAATATTTGAAGGATTTTTTTTTATGACGTAGAATACAATATTTTTGAATACGTTGAAATTAATTTTTAATAATTTCGTTTGCTGGTAAAAGATTTATATAAAAAAAGGAGGACGAAACTTTTCTCTAATTGAAATTTAAATTGAAATAATGAGACAGACTTTCGGTATTGATATTTGCTTTTCTTTTTTACAGGTATGTACTGCTCCATTTTGCTTTTTGATGGGGATTAATTAAATGCGTCATTACGAGAGTAAGTACAATTGCAAAACACATCGAAATATGAAAATTTTTAGAAATTTTGTAACACAAGAAAGATACGATACTGTAAAACTATAAAGCAGATTGCAAATTTTGTATTTTGAATATGATTCGATGGAACATGATCGATCAACGTCGAAACGACAACTCATGTCAATCCGATAAATATTCGTGCGGTTAAACAATTTTAGACTTACAATTAAACGACAGTTTTACGGTTATACGAAGCGTTTACCCACACAACGCGAAATGAGCTTCCATTTTCACGTGGCCCCGCAATACTCTGTTTTTACCGTGTAATTACTCGTACTTGTTAATTGTCCGCGTACATTCAACGAATTTCGTGAACGATTAACGCGTGAATTTACACGTTTATCAAACATATCGTTCCCGGAAAAATTTGACCTACCAATTAATATCGTGCTAACAATCTCCCTCTAATCGACAGAAATTCGATCAGAATCAATCAACTGTTGTTGTATACAGCAATAAAGAAAAGGTGATATGAATCACCAATTCAAGATCAATTACAATATTAAAAAAAAAAGCGTATTTTATCCTATTCGTCAAATTGTTAAATAAGATAGATAAAGTAATTTATTCGACGAATTTTAATAAATAAAATTTAATTAATTCATTCAAAATTTCTTACCGGTTTCAAACATTTGGACGGTATTACATCTTCATCTTGGAAAGATTAATTTTAAGGTAATTACAAATGTTAATGCGTGTCCCATTCATCCCAATTCTCCAATTATCTGTGTTTATAGATGCATTGTATCTATTAACCTGCCAATAATTGACAAATTCAGGAGATTTCTGGAAATGGAGGGGAAAGCTCGTAACGATCGCAGATTGGTGCGTCTTCAATCCCTTGCAACCAGAATCTTCCGGAATTGCCTCCAACGCTGATCTATGCGTTCACTGCACCACACTGCAGTGGCCCGATATGTCACTGCAAGATCGTCTCCACCAGTATCCTCCCGAGACATTGGATCCCAACGATTGACCTGGTATCTCGTTCCTTTGTGGAAGATGAACGAGCATTTACATGGATCTCGCATTAGCACAATTACTGAAAATTTATTATGGCCGATGATGATTGTCCGAATATATGTCATTCGGTCATCTTATCAATTGATAATGGTAAAGCAACAGTTGAAGCTTGTTGGATGATTTCAATTGAGTCACTTTATTATTTTTCCTTGTCAATGTTCGTCTTGAATGATTGTAGATTGGTTCATTGTGTTTTTAAATTGATCATGGAGATGGGTAGGAAGTTTTTGAACTTTGAGGTAAATTAAGGATAGATTATTTTCGATATATGTGGATGGATCTCTTTTGTCACAGATGATACAGATTTCAAGGAAGACTTTTAAAATGAATAATTATCAGGTTGATAATGATCTTAAACATTTATTTCTTTTCTTAAATTTTGAATATTATGAAATTTAAAAAATTTTGATGGACTAAATAAATTAAATAACTCTAGACTGTAGTGTAGTACACATACGCGATAAATATTATTATAAAAATTAACAATCAAGGAATTAAAGAGATTTAATTTCTAATTTTAGAAAAATTCCAAGAATAATTTTCTATTCGATTTTTGAAACGGATTATTCATTTTCGACATATTTTTGAAAGCTTAAATCCAATAGAGAGTGTTTCAAGTGGATTATTTTGTACGTTTCAACCCTTTGTTGTATTATCCGTAAAATCGATATTTCTAATCCTATTGTATCCTATGTATCACGAACAACGTTAACATTATATATCACCATCTATGTTATCCGTTCGTGACATCGTTGCTAATATTATCGTGCAAATATTTTCCATACTCGCGACAATATAGAAAGAAATACAGAAAAAAAAATGATCAATTTTGCAGGTAAACATTAACTCTATTCGCAATTTGTTTGAGAATTCGAAAAGATTCTAAAATATCAATTCAACGATATTGCACGTTCGTAGAATTGTTAATGACACGGTTCTCTGAGGAGATTTCCAGAATTTCTACGACGTGCAAAAGAATTTTTAAACACTGGATTGAAATTGCAAATCATAATAATATTTCGTTAAAATTTGGGGAAAAAATAGAAACGGACGTGTGTAAAAATCAGAGGAAAATACGGGAAAACTCGATAGGTAACGATATTATGAATTCGATGGTTTGCAAGTGAAAGCAAATATTTGACGAAAATTCGTTGGATCGTGGAATTAATTGCTAAAAATACAGAAATTTTATACGAGATTAAAAAAGGAAAAACTATATATAAATATATACTGGAGAGTGTAAAGCGTTTCGAATCTTTCCACGGAAATTGACAACGCGTTAAAGAGTTGAATGTCGCGCGACGGGAATTGAAATTCGGTATTCTTGGATGACACGAAAAAATATAGAGCGTGTCGTATACAGGAAAAAGAGAGAAAGAAGCGGGAGGTAAATGGAAAGAAAAAAAAAAAGGAACGTGCAAAAAGAAATTCGAGCGATAAAAGGTTGGCAACTCATTTAGAATCTTTCTCGTTCGTGTATATCGGCTTTGTCGCGGCAAGAAAAACCTTTCCCGGACTCGTTTCCCGCCTGCATCCCAGTTAATATCCTGTCGTGGCGTAGATGTTTGCGACTGATCCAATTTCATACTTTCCTGTCAAGTTCAACTGCTCTCGAGGCTGCGCTTGGTAGAAATCGGTGTCCCCAGACGTGTCGATGTTTCCCTTCATTTATTGCAAACTGTGATGTATAAATATCTTGTTTTACCATGGCTTTGTCTTGATTCCATGTATTGATATGGATAACACGTGATGATTTGTGGTTTTCTGTGAAACATGAACATTTAATTACATTAAATGCCAAAATTAATATAAATATATCGGTATATATATTGGTTAATAATGTTAAATCTCATTATTAGTCGTCATAGTGTTAATTTTAACAAATAAAAGTTAAGCAATTTTTTATGAAAAAATTTTATAACATTGTAGAATGCTAAATTAAATTTTTGTGTATATTTTTGAATTGTGCGATATAGAAATTGAAATTTTTAATTGATACTGTATAATTATTCATCAAAAAAGAAGGAAAAAATAAAGATTAGATATTATAACCTTACTAAAGATTAAATATTAATAGTAAGTACTTTAATGAGAATGAGAACAATAAGCGTTTAAATTTATGAACGTATATTCAAAGAATAAATGAACCACAGAGGAAATTGAAAAGAAAGAGTGAAAAAAGTTTGCTGCGTATAATTAAGTACATAGACGATTAAGCACAGCCTAATCTGATGAAGGTTAATGTCATTATGGTGAAAAATTTTTATGTATTTCACAGAATACTATATGAGAGAGCTCTTTATTTGAATATTTTAAAACGAAATACAAAAGTTTCGAAATTATGATAAATTATTAATTTGTTTTTCAATTGTCTATGATTTAATATATTTTCTAACCTAATTCTACATAAGCATACTTCAATGACATAAAAAATATAATATGAAGAAAAATATTAATACCTTATATATTTCCCATAAAGATTTTTCACAAAATTCTTCCACCATATTGATTAATTTTTCAAGATGCACGGAAACTCTTAATTATTTTTAACAATTTTAAAAATATACACAATTCACAATTCTTCAGAAAATCGATGGAACGTACACACTAATTTACTCGAGAGTTCGATAGTAATCGAATTAATACTCGAGAGCTCGAAACTCATAGCTCTGTCTACAGTCTTTATCCGATCGTGTCCGATTATTGCCGAATCATTCCGAAGTTGTCGAAGCCCGATCCTACCCGAAGTTTTCCGATTCATTCCGAGATTTGGATTCTCGAGTGTGAAACGTTCTGACATTATTAGTTCTTTTAATTCGTTTTCATCTCACGTTTTTCATATTTTTCCACTTTCCAACAATCAAGAAACCTGAAGAACTACTCCATTCTTCGAAGAATAGCATTATTATCGAGAAAAAAGAGGTGAGTGCCACATATTTTTCTATTCTTGTAACGTCGTATGTGATATGTTTATTACTTTGACGAATCGCTCGTCAAATACAATAATGTAGCACAATTTTTTTACAAAATGGAAGTCGTAGCGATAACGAAAGATCTCGGGAAACGAAATGTCGTACGTTTCTATCGAATCGACATCGAAATTCGAAATGGTTGATCTCTTCGCGTCAGTCAAACTATATCCAGCCATGGTTGTTCCTTTGTCGCTCATCGCGAGTCAATTTGTCACAAAATGTCCCCGGTTCCGTGTATTCCCACGAGACGCTCGTCACGACCGATTGATTCACCATTTTGTTTCTTTCTCTAAAGTTAAGCGACGTTTACGTGGTACGGTCAGAGAAATTCATGGAGAAAACTCTTTCGGAATTTCGTCTAACTTATCGACAAAGATTGATTGATTAATTTGTCACGGATGTAAAGACGGATCGATCAATCACGCGAACAAATCGAAGCTAGGTCGATCTAATTTACATTATTTCGAACGGTAATTAGCCTTTTGCGTTTTTGCATAGATGAGTCATTGCTATTCGTTAAACATTCATGCGATTAAAATATTATGGTTGCATGGTCATTTGCGACCTTTGATGTTGCTTTGGTCGATTTCAAGTTACTCAATTAGAAATGCTTTGATGTTCCTTGAAGTTTATTTGATGTATTAGAATATGAATGAAAATAGTTTTATGTTATATTAAAATGTATATAGCTTCGTTATTAATCAGAATATATTTGATAGAAATTTGATCTTAGGAACAATATCAAATATTAAATAAAATATTATCTATTATATTATCTTTTAAGATTATCTATATTTTTAGGAACTAAATGCTTTCAAAGAGAATTTATGTAGTACTTGGTCATACATTTAAACGGAGTATAAATGGTATAAGTAAGTGGATAAATGACGATTAGTTGGATATTACACGAATTTCATTTAATTATGTAATACCAGATCTCAAAGAGAAAATCATATAAAATTACATATCATGTAAAATTGTATTAGAAATGTTAGAAGCTTCAGTTGAAGCTCAATTGCATGCTTTAGTTTATCTTCGTGTAAATGGGATTCCATTGAAATTCTCTAAATATGAAACTATATTTCGTAAAATTATATTTCATAATAATAAGCTATATTAATTACGAAACAATAACGATTCGAAGTAAAATAATTAGAAATAACTTCTTTGTTATCTCTTTATAGTTATTTGTATTCTCAATATATTATCTAGCATTGAACTAATGATAACTTTCTAGAGTTTCATTTTCAAATATATTCCTAATTATGATAAAATTTTTGATTCCATAAATACTTCAAATGAACAGATTCATTTTAAATTCAATCAATTATTTCCAAATCGTTCTATTAGAATAAATTGATATTAAAATTTTATAATTAGTTAGTTTTATTTGTGAATAAATTACCGCGTTGTAAATAAAATTATCAATGGAAAATTAAAATAGAATTCGTTATAAATAGTAGTGAATATCGTGTAATAGATAATATTGCGCGTTCTCTGCAACATTTTACGCATAGCATACCGATTTCATTGCAAAAACTGTTTTATTTCTTTTCCATTCTTTGTCTTACTGATTATATACCGCCAGTTGAAATATTCGAAACAAGCGAAACGATCACAAAGTACGTCGGGCTAAATGACATTTTAATTAAATCGCTTCTACAACCGGGTCTCGCTTTTACGAGACAAAGAGCTAGTATTTGCCCGGTAATTTATCAAATTTGGAAAGGAACAGACGAATGAAAATTTAGTCTGTATCAGTAATTACTTGCTAACATTTTAGATCAACTGTCTCAAACTTCTGATTCGTGAAAATTTATTCTTTCATAGATAATACGCGCACGTTTACGAAATACTATTGCTGTTTAATCCAACGCAGTATTCTATTTTAGAACAACATATTCTCTCGATCGTAGAAAGAATATATCCTTCAAGAATTTTAATAATCTCAATTACCTGAAAATCAGGTAGAAATTTAAAAAAATACCGCGATTAAATGGACAGTTAAAAAACAAAGCAGTTATTCACCGAAGAATTCCGTTTAAAAAATTTTTATCTCTCTTCATTTTTTTCAAATATTATTCCCCGTGCAATCTCGTTTCACCTCGGTGAAAAACACAGCGCGGGAACGTAACGGTTCGAGTGCAAACTTTCTTACAGAAAAGTTAGCTGGAAACACAGAATTAAAAGTCACAGCGGAAGATAAAGCTATCCGGAGTCTCGTTAAAGTGATACATCCCCTCGAGTTTCCTCGTCCAAGCTGCACACACTCACCTGCACAAACACGTACCTACACACGTACGTATCACCGGCCACCATTTACCAACCCGTGCAGCTCGTCGCCAATTACAATCACGGTCGCCCCTTAAATCGCGATCGAACGAATAGAACGAAATTACAATCTCCTCCTTTCGAAACTCGGCATCATCAAGATTTCTGAAATCCATCGCATTCGAACCTGTCGCCCATCAGTCGTGGCCGAGACAAGGCACGCCCGATCTCCTCTTTCTAAATTGGACACGTTCGAGACAAGGCGGTGGACGCGTGCTAATTTTCCAATTTCCGATGTCTCGAACCCTTATAATTTACCTTATCCAATAACTTACCTCGGCCTATATATATATATCGATGGACGAAACGAGAAAGAGAGAGAACGAGGTGATCGATCGTGGTCATAGGGAGATAAATTTTTATCGGGCCAACCGGTAGGGAACAATGGACAGTAATGAATATGAAGTTCGACCGATTGCACGGGTCGATCCCACGGAAGAGCGAGCGGCTGATTAAAGTCGTTCTTTCTCGGGTGGAAAGTAGGGCGGGGAATTCGGGTGGGTGGCGTTAATACGGATGACACGGTCAATTTTCGCGGGTGAGCGCGTGTTGCGAGTCGAGAGCACGGATGAAATGTCCTGGAGAAGCTTCATAAAGACGTGTGGCTTTCGCGAAATTAATGCACGCAACGGCAGATCAGCTGCTGACCTGGGTTCGGGAATTCTCGACGCCGGCTGTGCCACTAATTTCGCGCTTGGAAACTGGAGCTTTCCGCTCGCCGGGCGAGGCTGGAATTTTCTTTAAACGAATTTATTTTCATCGGTTCACACCTCCGGTGACACAGTTCTAGTTTTATCCTCGTGGAAATGGCGTATCGGTGTCGTCACGGTTTTTAAAAGAAGAAAAGCGGCCGCGTTTCTTACGTTCGCGAGCAAATGAATCGCTTCTTGCAAGGGGCTCCAACGAGAGGAGACTTGGATGGAAAGCGCCGTGGAACGCGATAATGATGCGCTTTTTATATCGTTTATTCGAGCGAATATGCGCGATGTTGCGTAAAAAGATTCGAGTTGTTTACGATTTGTAATTAAGGGGAGTGAATCTTTTGTTATTTATATATGTTTTTTAAAATTTAAAATTGGAAGATTCTCTTAGATTTCGGTGGGACAAAGGACGAGGTATTAATGTTTTAAATTTTGAAATTTTTATAATCTATATATATATGTATGTATCTTTTAGTAGGATTAGAGAATTCCAGATTCTCGTTATTGGATTTTAGCGAGATAGATGGCATCGATATTTTGAAATTTAAATTTTCGTATGAATTTTAAAATTTTTTAAAATTATACGTACACATGTTTTTTCCTGTAGTACGTGTATTTTAGTAAAATCCAAAAAACACTAGGATTTTAGTACGCTGAATAGCATTAAAGTTTAAAAATATTAATACGAATATTTTAATTCTGTTTACTTTCAAAAATTTTAGATAATTTATGTAATAATGGATTTTAATGTATTATTTAGAGCTTTATCCAGAGTATAGGTTTATCGTTGAATTTATTAAAATTTTTTATTTATTTAATATTTATTACGTATTTATTAAATAATAAAATACGCAATCTTCGATATCGAAAGATTTTTGTTAACAACAAAATTGAAAATAATAGAATATTCGAATACAATATTTTCTATTTGACAATACGATTTTTGTATTAGATGTTAATTTCGATTCATTTATTTATCACGTCAAAACATTTAAATGCGTTGAAACCGATAAATATATCGTTGAAGAGGATCATATTTTCAAACGAATGATTGTCGGTTTTCATGTTTCATTTCCTTGAACTAGATGCAGTTTTTACGACATTCTGCATCGTATATGATAATTTTTATATACCTATAAATACATGAAATATAAGGCCATGATTCACTTACGATCCCAACTTCGTATCCGGGCTATATTTTCGATATATAAAGTAAAAATATTTCTGATATAATATTCAAGTGCCATCCCGCGATACAAAGTTATCCTGTTGAAACGAGAAAAGTTTTCTCGAAAAGGAAGTACCAACGGAACTTTCTCATTATACCCGGTTTTAAACTACACGGGAGAATACAAAGAATTCGTAAATACGTGGCAAATACGGGTGCAGGGATACACATTTAGCATTAATAAAACTACCACTATCTTTCACTCCGTTATTGAATGAAAACTCGACCCGCTTCACTTTGTACCCGTACCAACGTCTAATAAAACTTCGTTGGAAGAAACGGCACGGAGAAATTTCCTTCCCTTCTGATGATACATTTCTTCAAATCGGCAATTTTTATGAAAGATTCAAGATTTATAGATTCAATTT